AATTATATATTTGAAATAATTTAATTTTAAAAATAAAGGATAAAAGAATTTAATTAAAGAATAAATAAATATCTACATACACACACAACTAGTGTGTGTATATATATATATATATATATATATATATATACTAGTTGTGTACCCATGCAATGCTGCGAGATTTACAATTTTGAAAACATGTAAGCGGGCATATCGATTACGGATAAAGATTTGTATTTGAAATTGTCAGGCTCTACACCATTGATTGCTTCATATTCAATTGATTTGAGAGGAACTGAAACAATCCAATAATCTATTTGATGTTTTGAAATTTGACAATCGATTTATTCTAATTTGGTTATGCATGAGATGTCGTATTATGGAACTATCTATCGATCTCCTTGAGAAATCGATCAAAATTGGTGTTTATAAAAATTGCATCTCAGCTCGAAACAAAGCTAAAGACTCTGAAGTAGTGCAGATCCTAAAAGAAAAGAGAATCGATCAAGAACCTGTGAGAAATCAAAGGAAACCAAATAAAAGGAAATCAAACCCTAAATCAACGTGTTGGAGGTATGAATCGAGCGAAGCCAGAACTAAGACCTTGCAATCGAGCGTGTTAGAGGCTTCAATCGTCGTCTTGGAGGCCTCAATCGTCGTCTTCGAATCCTACAATCGAGCATGTAAGGGTCGGTTGTCAAACCAAGCGTGGATAAGGGTTTATGCATAATGTGGTTGTACGTTTAGGTTCTTAAAGTTGTAATCAAGAGAATTAAACCTTTGTGCATAAAAAGTTGTACTTTATGCAATATAGGTTGTATTTAAAACTTTAAGACTTTTACCAAATCTAGTTTATAATGTTGTATAGATAAATTACTGATCATATAAAATTACTTATTTTAAAAGTAATTTTAATTCTTTCAATAATCAACAATCCATATAATAAATCAATATCACGTAACTTACTTGAACCATTGAACACATAAGTGTTCTTAAATTTCCATGCTTACCTCGGTCTCTTCACACTCAATCAAATTGTATAAATCATAAATATATAAACATATACTCATTAGTACACAAGGGATCAATTTGTCAATTATCAAAAACACTAAAGTGAGGAATGTAAATTCAATATAAAATCCAAAAAAATTGGTTTACACCAACAGAAAGAAAGTGACATCTTTTATTGAACTGTAAAAGCAAACAAAATCACCACAGCAGACTCAGAATTTACACAAGAGGAAAATGTTCGACAATTGTGTCTTTCTGCATTCACTGCAAGCTAAAAACAAACCCATGGATTCAACAAATGAGGTCTTGAAACCCATGATCTAACACAAAGCAGCGCTATCAACTCCTTCAACCATCATCACTCTTGATTTTCAGTTTTGCTTTGTGCTTCACCTTTGATTTCAATTTGGCTTTGCTTTTTGCATTCAGATTCGTTTTGGCATTCGGGTTTTGTTGCAAGATTATGGTTAGGCTTTACTATGATGCAGGTGATGTTATCACAGCTTCCATGGGTAAAAGCGGTCTCAGTCAACTTTTTAGCTGCTGCCTCTGGTTCGTCTTCAGGCTGTGCAAGTGAGACGACATCCTGATAAAAGAGACCCGCAAATTTCACAATCAGGTGAATCTAAAGGTGAAGCTTGGGTACATAACATACATCAAAAGTCATCGTTAAGAACGCGTTTTTGGGTTTTGAAATCGAAATTTGGAATGAAATTGAAAACGAAATCTGGAACAGAGAACAGATAACAAAAATTATTAGAAACTTCAAAAGAAGCCTAGAACGAAATCGAAAACGAAATCTGGAATAGACAACAATAAACAAAAATTATCAGAAACTTCAAAGGATATCGGAAATGAAATCGAAAACACAATCAAATTCAAAATCGAAAACGAACCTCAGAACTTCAAAGAAATCTGGAATGAAATAGAAAACAAAAACGAAACCAAGTTCTTCAATCTAGGAAGGAGATGCAGTGGTGATTCGAGTCCTTGAATCGAGTTCTCGAATCTCAAAAGGAGATGCAGTTCTTGAATCGTAAATGAACACGAAATCAAAAAACAAAAACTAAATCAGGAAATGAAAACAATAATAAAAAAACAAAATTGAGTTCTTGAATTTGGGAAGGAGATGAAGTTCTTGAATCGAAAACGAAAATCAAAAAGAAAAATTTGAGATGGGATCTAGAAGGAGGCATACACAATGAAGGAGGCGTGTGAAGGAGTAGGGTTGTCTTTTTCTGACTGAACCTGGACAAGAGCTCTTTCCCATCTGTGCGAATAAGCCCATTTTTGTAAACACCACATTTTGGCTGAGCAAATAATCCCATTAACCCGTTAAGCTCATTAAGTCATATGTAAAAACCCCCTAAGTGCAACAAAACATCGCTATAGCCTCTGAATAAGTTGTTGTAACAATACTTCTCAACTGCCACTATTGGATTGAACAACCCTTTTCTCAAAGTTTAGGTTAGACACTTGATAATAGTGTTCAAAAGAACATAAATCTAAGCATAGTACATACCTTAAAATTCTTTTCATATAGTTTGCAACCTATGTCGGCTGGCCCAACTCTTTTTAGCCATTTGTAACACTAAAAGGTCTAATATTTGTGTTGGCTTACATTTTAGTCCAATTCATCCAAGTGAAACAACATGTGTCAATTTGCCAAGAATTACTTGAATGAAACTTAACAACCAGAAGTGAATAGCAGAGTTGATTGCTATTAGCCAAATCAATTATATGTTAACACATAGGCTTATATCTCACAAACATTTACTCGCACCCAAGCAAAACCCCTTTATTGTTGGAAAACGAAAGACGTGTATTTAGATGGCATAAAGGTAAAGTATAGAAAAAGTAAAATGCAAGAAATGTAAAATGCACGAGAAAGGTATTAAAAATGTAAAGATGCAAGAAATGTAAAGCATTGGAATGTAAAAGTGTTGGAGATCTTGAAGTGCAGAAAGTATAAGTACTGAAAGTCGTAGACTAGCCGTGGAAAAGTAAGAATGTTGTGATAATAGATTTAGGGGCCGTTTACCAAACACTTACCCGGGTAAGCGCTTAACAAGTCGCGTTACCTCACCGGATGAATATGGTAAGGACCAAGAATCTTACCCGATAAGAGCGAGACAAGGACCATGAGTCTTACCCAGTAAGTGAGGGCGACGACTCTTACTACGGTAAGAACTTACCGGGTATATTGTTGCATATAATGTCGTTTTGGTGGACTAAAATCTTACTCGAGAAGTAAATAATAGTGTTAAATTTTACCGGTAAGCACTTATTGTGCAAGTGTTTGGTAAACGGCCCCTTAATCTAAAAGATTTCTTGAAATTAGAAGGAAACTAGAACAGAAAGCTAGTCTAAGCTTAAAAAAGCTGGAGTTATAAATTAACTGTTGAGCTTCTCCTTGTATACAAAAGGAGAGAGCCAAAAGAAGCGAATCAAAAGTACAAGATACAATATCCATTAGGTAATAAACAACTAAAAAAAATCTACTACTAGGAAACATCTAAAGTACAATGTAAAAGTTGGAAACATCGAAAGTACAATGTATAAAGTTGTACAAAAGGTGTTTGTCATAGAGATTTCCTCTATCAGATTATCAAAAGATCCCCTTTCAATGAGATCAACAAGTCTTTCCAGCTATTACTTCAAATCAACGGATTCTTCAAGCTCGACACCCCGTCGTAACTTTACAAAACTACTAAAATTGTCAATCTTAATCTGTAAGCTATTTTCGAGCCAACAACCAACTCAAGCAACCGGATACAAGCAAATTTCCCTACAAAATTAAAGACTTTAAGGAAGTTTACCACCTTTAGAGACTAAAATATATATGTAAAATCAGAAGTAAATTTATCTTGAAGGGACAAGTCCCATGCCGCTACTTCAAAAACCATGTGACATTCCATCTACGTTAAGAAATATTCTTCCGCCCATATGCTACGATCTGAAACAAAAGAAAAACCACATATCTTAGAGTTGGGGAAGGGCGAAACATAGATTTGTCATCCATGTTATCAAATGTTAAATGCACAACAGGTTTATCGTAAAAATAGATAAAAACAGACAAATAAATTTTGAAACTTTATTACATTAATTGTTATACTTTGTTACATGAATAGAAACTAACCCAAACTTGGTTGAATTTTGATTCATTTACCCTCATTTTTTGTGCATAACTTTATTAAAAGTTGGTTTTCAATTAAAAATGATAAAACCGAAAGCCATAGATAAAACTACCAGGAAATACTCTTGCATCCAAAATGAGAACATTTTAGAGATAATCAAACCGATTACAATGAATCACACATAGGGGAGGATATCTGGAGAAGGAAGGAAATAAAACAAAAATGGAGATACAAAACTAAGGGGCTGTTTATCGGCATCTGACCACCTCTTACCCGTAGGATGTTCTTACCCAAGTAAATGGTGGGTTGTTTACCAAATGAAAAAAACACAACTCTCTGACCATTTACCATGCTTTGTCTAGAGACAGAGTTAGAAACGTGCCTTTCCAAAGACAGAGATGAAGTTTCACATGTTTTACCTTTACAATCACCAACTCACGAAGGGGAACCAATCTACAAGAATCGAACCTTATCCTTATCATCTATCTCCATAATATAAAAAAAAATATTGGTAATAAAAAAAATCAGTCAGCACTTACCTCAATCAGATGTTTTACCCGAATGAGCACTTAATCAAAAAATTTGGTCAACAACACCTAACATTATTTTGGGTGATATTGAAAGTTGAAAACTAGAAATAGAATCTTTAGGAATGAAGAAGCATACTCCTTTTATAACATGAGTATATAAATAACAGAATGAGAATGAAAACAGAAAACAAAGGCCTTTGGCGTAGCGGTATGTGAGTCCTTGCCTTTCTAGGAGGTCAAGGATTCAAACCTCACCAAAGGTGAGCAGGGTGTGTGAGTTTATTTGTTCTATTTGCCGTATATAAATATTATATACTTTAAAAAAACAGATAAAAAACATCAATAACGTTGCAACATTTAGATATAAAAGACTTACTAATTTTCCATTTTTGATGGGACAATGAGCTAGAATATGTGAGTCCTCCTGGAGTAAAACATCAACATTTGAGTGTCCAACTTCTCGATACAGTGAACTATGATGGTTCCTCGAGGTCGTAGAGCGGTTGGGATATGGATTTGCCTCTTCGACTACGAACAATTGCACATCTTTTGCTCTTAACGGAGTTTCACGAGCAACATACTTCAAATTCCAAGTCAATTCGTCATAAAATTAGTATAGAAAAATTGCACTTACTAGTTATGTATCAAGGTCATTGACAGCTTTGCTATTTTAGTTTCTATAGCTACTAGAAATTATGCATAATCTACTTATAGAGAAAATGAGAGTGATATTTGCACCTCACGAAGGTGATGAAATGACATGGCAGGGTTGCAGAAAAGATGTGGCTTCTCTAGATTTCCTACTATGTTTGTATTAAGAGAAACAAGCTTCACATGGATCTCAAACTGCAAACAAGAAATTATAAGATCGTGAACTTAGTAAACCCACCATCAAAAACAGTATCTGATCATTGAGATGAAGCTAATTTCACGTTAAATCTTGAAAGATAATACCTGATCATTTTTCTTCTTCTTTTGTTCGCGAAGACGGAGATGTTTGGCTAGTTTTGTGAGACGGGTATTCCTGATTCTCCTAGCACCACTCAGACTTCGATGAAACCTGGCTGCAGCACCACCCGATGACGGAGTTTCAGTATTCGACACCACCCCACCAGAAATATTCCGTTCGCCATATTCAATATCGGTGTCTGTAGAAGAATCTTGAGAAAATCTTTTCAATTTTTTGGACTTCAGTTGTTTGATCTCTTCCATAATCTCATTATCCTCTTTCTTTTCATCACCCTCGTTACAGTTGGTCTCATTTTTGTTCACTTGGTCCTGTTGATGCTCATTCTGGATAACTGGATCATGGTCAATCTCATTTTGGTTTGCATAACGTTTTAGGGTTCTTGATCTGTGGGTTCTTTTTCTTGCATGAGCATTTTGTTGTCCATTAGATGACCTTTTTACAGATCTACCAGTAGAAGTATTGCCTATATCATTAAGGACTTCAGTTACATTAACCGGCTGTCGTTGGTGTACTTCTTCTGCATTATTGTTAAGGACCTGCTAAGAATTTGGGGGGCAAATGCAATGAACAGTTAACAAAGCCATAGCAAAACACACCATATAACCAAACTAGAAAGCAAAAACCATATGATTTCTTTACCTCTCTATCATATTTCCCGATATCTCCAATCACCACTTCAATAATAGAGTCCATGTTCGGATCATTTCTTAATACACGATTCGTACCGTAACTTTTACGGCATGAAGGACAGTGCTTCCTGGAAGATATAATTCATATACAAAAGTGTAATCGTTATTAACTTGGTAAAAACAAGTAGTAAATGTATGAAGTGATCATCACGTACTTTACGTTCATTGATTGGTTTACGCAGCTTCCACAGAACCGGTGAAGACAATCGTTGAATGTTTTCGTGTTCTTCAGGATCCCTAGATCATATCCAAGACGTTAAACTTGTTTCAAATTTAAGACATTTTCAATTTGAACCATTACAAAGACAACTAAACCATCTTATGACTAAAAGTGGCTTTTGTGATTAAGCTGATGTGTCTCAACTAACCCAACTCAAATAAAGATTGCATTTAAAGTATTTTCACAAGCATGTTTGATCAAACTGTATAGTTTGGCGATGTAGTAAGTATGTCGATCACTGTTACAAGTATAAGGACTTTTACATCATGAATCATGTACAAGCACAAATACTGACTTAAAAACCTCCAACTTGGTTCCAAAGGTCAAAAGTATCAGGAGGTCTCAAGTTCAAATCCAATAAGGAATAAAAATCCCCTTTGTGGTCACGGAGATTCAAATGCGATGACTCCGGACTATCTGCAAAGTGTAGGTGGTCGCCCTGAAATTCGTCGGCTTGCATAGTGGGTTGGATATCCAGGTTAATTAAAAAAAAAACTCGAACTAGAACAAATAAGACGCTCATATTGGAATAAATATGGGGAAGCAATAGGCATTACCTAGACATATAGGACACATTAAATCCTTATGAAGTAACTGAAGGTCCAGACGCGTCCATCTGCATAACATAAACTCGTAGTTATTACATCAAAACTTGCAATTATGAAGCTTGTGTCGGGCCCTTTACCAAACACTTACCTGGTAAGTTATTACTGATAAGATTTAACACTATCAGTTAATATAACTGTAAGATTTTAATCCATTAAAACGACAAAGCAATAATATACAAGGTAAGAGTCGTCACCCTCAATTAATGGGTAAGACTCTCTGTCATGTCATTTTATTCTTATTAGGTAAGATTCTCGATCTTTGCCATATTTATTTGATAAGGTAATGTTGGCTTTTCGGTAAAAGACCTCTAAGTCTCTTTTAAAGGCTTCAATGTAAAATTTTGTTGGTTACAAAAGAAAACAACCATATAGTAGGCACCCTAACACCTCTATGTATTTAAGAGAAGTAAGATCCAAACTAGATTAGTATGTAGATATTGGTCAGGGTTTTGAAAATCTAAACAATTATTATGACAGGTTTTTGTTGATTTAACTTGAATACATATTTTTTTTATTAACATGAATATCCAACCCGCTATGCGAGCCGACTAATCTCAGGCTGACCACCTACTTTGCAGATAGTCCAGAGTCACTGTATTTGAACCTCCATGGCCGCAAGGGAATTTTTATTCCTCCTTGGATTTGAACCTGGGACCTTCTAGTACTTTTGACCTTTGGAGCCAAGCTCAAACCAATCAGACACCATCCTTATGGTTGAATACATGTTTTTATTGTACCTACATACCAACTTTATATGGGGCACACAAAAATTGAATCTCTAAACTAATCGAAACAGATTGAGTAAATCCCATACAAAATTTAGAGTCTAGGGAGTATGATATGCACACCTCACAATGTTTCAACCACAAACAACTTGAAACCATTCAAAATCTTCTACCACATAATGTTAATTTTTTTTTGAAGTATATAATATTTATATACGGCAAATGCAACAAATAAACTCACACACACCCTCCTCACCTTTGGTGAGGTTTGAACCCTTGCCCTCCTAGAAGGCCAAGGACTACGGTACCGCTAGGCCGAACGCCCTTTGGTGCCCATGTCTTTTATGTTGTCTATTGTTTTCGTCTTTTTTTTGGGGGGGGGGGGGTAGTTATTTTTTGAGATTCCGTGTTTTACGCCAAAATAAGCTAAACTTCATTAAGAGGACCAAAATAAGGTAAGTGTCATTGAGAATGACATATTTACTAAAGACAATGCATAGGTAAGGTCATAAGGGTTAGCCTTCAAACAACCAATAAAGTCAACCCTAAGAGATGGAAGATTGGTTCTTGAGATCGATTTGAACTCGTATTGTTGTGATTTTGTTGATGTTTCTAGGAATTGTTGGTGAGTAATAAGCTTCTATTGGTTTCAACATTTCATTTGGGTTGTGATCTTGTTGAGTTCTGGGAATGGAAATTGCAATTTCTTTGTTGTTTTCACTTGGGTTGTGAATTGCAATTTCTTTGTTGTTTCTATTTTGGGAATTGTTGATGATTGCTGATCTTGCTAGGCTCTTTGGTAATTGATGGTTCTGGGGTGAATTATGAACTTGATTTTTTCATGTGGTCATCAGGAACATGTCTCATGAAGTTATTTTTGCCTTCAGATTGGCATATGATTGTAGTAACAACTGTAGTGATGACGCTGGTTATAATGTAAGTGATGATTCGAATTTACATATATGATTCTTTATCCTTCGACCTTGAAAATGAGGATCATGTAATCAATCTAAACAAAGCGATTTTCTGAATAAGCTTTGTAATATACACATGGTTGTCGATTAATGTAATAATGAGGTTGGTTCCGATGTTGAATTCAATGTGCTAGGAGCTTTTGTATTTGTATCCCTAGTGACACCAGAGGAGATTGCAAAACATTATGTCTGTGAACTCATTGAAAGACCATCATAAATATGAGAGGGATAGAAGACGATAATTTGAAGAAGTTTATGTCAATGTTAGCATAGCCAATGCATCAGGGCCAAATCTAGGAAGCTTCTTGAAATTGAGAGTTCCTTAACATAACAATGTAGAAAGCTTTACGATTATGCACATCTACAGTCAAATAGTAAGTCAAGTTAATGGCAGATAGAAGTAATGAATTTAGGAGGTTTAATGTAAGTTTCAAAGCATAAGAGATGGGTGGAGGAGTGGATGAAGAAAGGCGATAGGACTTGATGATTGTTTTTTAAAAGGGGTGTGCAAGGAGAGTTAAACTCGGCAATCGGTCAAGATGGAATAATCCAATCTACCCTCTAGCAATGAATATTCAAACTATGTCTATTATACTAATTATATGTACTTATTATTTGTTTAATTACTTACAATATTGAATGCTTATGTAGCTTAAGTTGTAGTGGATAGAAGTGGTTCATTGAATTGCTAATAGAATAGATGTGTTAGTGAAGGATCGCAGTTTACTATCATATGTGAATGGATATTTTTTTGCAACATATGAGTCAGTAAACGTACACACACACACACACACATATATATATATATGGATATTTTGTTAGAATGAGAATGACCCCTCACCTAAGTCTAGTAAGCCAAAAGGAAGGCCAAGACTAAACATTCGAAAATCGACTACAAGTGGAAGAGGACATAAAGGTGGAAGAGGGAGTAGAGGTGGGAGGATTCCACTGTATCGGTCTTTGTTATGATCCAACCACAAGAGAAACAATAGTTGGGGTTAGCCGTTATTTAAATGTCAGATTCAAATGACTACATATTATGACAATTGCTTACACTCCGCATTCATTAAAGAAATCCTTATGTGTGCCTTAACCAGCATGCCCGAAGGACATCTTACCACATTCATTTATGGAGGACCAATTTGGTCATAAAGATCAACATGAAAGTGAAGCTACCTAATGACATCCTACAACATTCAAGTTTAAGTATGCAAGACCAATTTGGTCATGTTTTTCAACATGAAAGTGAGGTTTTTTTTTATTAACTTAGATATCCAACCCGCTATGCGAGCCGACTAATCCCAGGGTGACCACTTGCTTTGCAGGTAGCCCGGAATCACCACATTTGAACCTCCGTAGCCACAAGGAGATTTTTATTCCGCCTTAGATTTGAACTTGAGACCTCCAGGCACTTTGACCTTTGGAGCCCAAGCTCAAACCAATCAGGCACCATCCTTGTGGTTGAAAGTGAGGTTGTTGGTGATGAAGAAGAAATAAAGGTAACGTTAAGAAAGTCAAATGGTTATATATCAACTAGAAGTTGATGATACAGTGATAAAGAATTCGTGCAAAAACCTTCTTTCAGTAAGTGCAAGTATTTACTTGTTAAAAAAAATGTCATGAAACTTAATTGCTTATTATCGCTTAAAATATGAAAACTTGTTGAATTTTTTTTCCAAATTTTTCTATTATATTATTATGTAAATCTTTTTATTCTTGTCTATCTTACACAAAAGAGTTAATAATGCAACAAATATTCAGAATGTCCCTACATATGTTGCAAAATTCTTCTAGAGATGTGAATTTTGACTTTTGAGGTTGTAAAAGTATTATTTTAAAATCCAATTACAAATGTTTTCTAAAACAACTTTAATCCTCATGTCATTTAATTAGATTTGTTGTATTTCTTTTAAGTTTAACGGAAATTTCATGAGAAAAAAACACTAACTTAGCGTTTGATACACATAAATGATTGGAATGGTCTGGACAGAACATAATTGGAAATGACTGTACAAGACAAGAGAGTAGAACTAGACGGAACTGGACAAAACAAATGCATGTATCGTGTTTGGTACGACTAGGACCGGACAGAACAGAACTAGACAAGTTGCCCCAAAAGTTATTTGATAATTTTATGTATCATATAATAGTTATAATTAACACAAATAAAGTAAATAATTAAATAATTTAATTTATAAACATTTTATACAGTTTTCATATACATAAATACATAGATATATAATGGTGGTGTTGGTTATGCCGATGATGGTTATGGTGGGGTGGAAGTGTGCTAACGGTACTAGTCGTGGTTGTCGGTGGCTAATGGTGGATTTGGAAGACGTAAAGATGGTAGATAGTAGTAATGATGGCAGTCGACAATTGTGGAGGAGGTAGTTATGAGAAAGGTGGTGGTGGTGGTGGTGGTGGTGGTGGTGGAATCGATAATGATGGAGGAGGTAGTTATGGCTGATGTAGTAGAGGTGGTGGTTGTGGTGGGTAGAGGTGGTGGTAACCAATGGTGGTGGGGGCAGTGGTAGGGGTAGCTGATGGTAGTGGTGGTTATGGTGGAGGTGACGTGGTCCATGGTGGTAGTGGTGGTGGATATGAACAATGGTTATGAAAGTGGTGGAGGAGGTTGTTGTAGTAGAGGAGAAGGTCAAAGTGGCCAATGGTGGTAGTGGTGGTGTCGATGGACAATAGTGGTTATGGAGGTGGCGATGGAGAGGAGGTTGTTGTAGTGGAAGAGGATGTGGAAGTGGCTATCGGTGGTAGTAGTGGCTATGGACAGTGGTGGTGGAGGCCAGCAGTGGTTGTGGAGATAGCAATGGATGGTGGTGGTAGATGGTCGACGGTGGTTGTGAAGGTGGTGGAGGAGGTTGTTATAGTGAAAAAGAGGTAGAGGTGGTCGACGATGACCAACGGTGGCCGATGGTGGCTACTGGTGACAGTGGCGGCCACGACTAGCGGTAGTGACCACTAAAACACATATCATATTAAAGTTATATATCAAACGAGAGTTAATTAGTAATATTTTAGTTTATATCTCATTTTTGTCCCATCTTGTTCCACTTGTTTTGATGGAACAAAAATAAGTTTTCTTTTTGTCCCATTTTGTCTCACCTTGTCCCACTTCTTGTTCTTGTCCCATATCACACCCAACATGGGACAATGAGTTCTTGTCCTGTCTCATGTCGTGCCAAACATGAGACAGTGAGTTTCGTCCCGTCCGGTTCTGTCCCATGTACCAAACGCAGCCTAAAGGATATGGATTGACACTAACTAATCTGCATGAAGACTCAAGTCTTGCATAACATTCAAAATGAATGAATGAGAGATGCTTTGAACTCAATCCACAACCTCTATAAGTCACAATCTACTATGATTTCATGTTGTTGGAGGTAACCCCTTTTATATGTTGTTAATAAGAAGATGAAATGTTTCAAGGAAATATTGAAGACACATTTGCATCCTATAATGAAATCACATATACCAACATATCATGAAAATTACACCCAAAACCCATTAAACAAATTATCCACTCCAAAAAGAAAAAACAACATCAACAAAATCATAATCTATATATCATACAAAAATCGAAATAATTTGGGGATGAACGTGTATGTGTATGTGTATATATATATATATATATATATATATATATATATATATATATATGTGTGTGTGTGTGTGTGGAGAGAGAGAGAGAAAGAGAAACATACTCATCTAGTTCACCAACATCGGACGGAATTCCATCAGATTCTGAGAAACACAAAACGATTATCAATTAGATAGAAAACACACAATACCACACATTCTAATTATAACAAATTGTAACGATCAGAAGCAAACCATCGTCGGCGGCTTCAAGTTCATTTTCAGCATCAACGCGAACCATCGCTGCATCTTCATGAGTTTGTTCTTCTTCTATGTCAACTTTTGATTCTTCGTCAACTAGTTGATACTTCTTTCCCATCGCCTCTTGTTGCGGCCGTTGTTGCTTTCTTGAATTTCGCCTCAGATCTTCCGATTGCTTTCGTGCCTCCATTTTTGTATAAACTTAGATCGATTCAAAAATTTCCCAAAACCTTCTCCTTTCCTATAATTCTCTACAAAAATCGTTGCAAAACTCTAGAAAAATAAGAGAGACAAGAGAGATTTATCGGTTTCGACCTTAAATGAGTCTTCAATTAAATTCATAAACTCCCGACCTATGTAAGAAAAGATAAATCTTCCTATCTCATCTACCCTGAGGGTAAACTCGTCAAATGACGTCTACATTTTCAAACGTCATTTAACGACGTCACTCTAGGAACGATAAAGATCAAATCTTTTTTTATTCATAAGTAATATCAATCCATCGGTTACATATACCGTAAAATCTATCGGAATGTGAAAACATTTGGTTTAATACCTGTTTTGACGAGCCATTTATTAATCTTGTAACGTTTGATGATATATCAAGTTATCAGTGAAGTAAAATTGATTGTATGTATTACCAAGTCAAGTAATACCTTTTTTATGTTTATGTTAAAAACCCAATAATGTAATTTCACATTTTCTTAATTAACCTGGATATTCAACCCGTTATGTGAGCCGACTAATCCCAGGACGACCATGGAGTCACCGCATTTGAACCTCCGTGACCACAAGAGGATTTTTATTCCTCCTTGGATTTGAAACTAGGACCTCCTAATACTTTTAACATTTGGAGCAAGCTCAAACCAATCAGATACCACCCTTGTGGTTGTAATTTCACCTTTTACGTTCAGTTGAGCTGAAAACCAGTATAATAGGTAAAATAGGATGATAAAAAAAATATAAGAAACTTATGAAATCTTACTACAATGAAATTGAGTTTATAGGACGTCAACAATCTTAAGTGTTCTGATAGACTGCTCTATAAGACTTAATTTATAAGATCGAAAAATAAAGCATTAGTCTAAAGGCGTTATAATAAATTTATAGGACGTTTTTGGACATCTTAAATAAGTTTTTTGGGACATTTTTAATACAAATTGTTGCATTAGCTATTCTATGGGACAATTTTGAGAAGTGTCGTATATATGACACTTTTTCAAATAACGTTCTGTAAATTTATTACAACACCCAAAAACGTGTTGGCATCTCAGTACACCTCATTAGTGTTGATATTCAATTAGGATTGATCCAAGAGTGGAGATCTCTTCTCACCATAACTTCTCTTCTCACGAGAACCCAACCCTAATGCCATAAGTACATTGTTTCAGGACATTTTAGAGAGCGCTTGGTATATTCGCAAGTGTTTTTAGAAGTAATAAATCTATCAAATGAATTAGAATTCGAATGTGATTGAATCTAGTTTGACAACACGTATCATTGGCAGATAACAAAACCGATTCATTTGCATTTTCATTTGAAACTTTTGTTTGATTCGCAAATTAAATGAGATTGAGTTCGTGTGAAAATAGTTTTTTTTATGAAATTTGTGCGAACATGGATCTTTATTAACTTCCGTTCACAAACTTTCATCAGTTTTCATTTATCTCTACATACTATATGTATCATCATGACTAAAACTTTAACAAATTCATTCATGTAAATGTGATCGAAGACACGTCAAAGTAGGTGAAGGTGACAGGTGATGCATGTGACTCGATTGCTTAAATAGTATCTCTCCCCCAAAAAGCACAGCCCAGGCACAACGACGCAATTATCAGGGGCACGCTCTACCCACTCCAATTTAATCTCTATTGAATTTGAATATCAGAATAGCGGCCTTTTTCTACTTATTTTTCCAAGTGCATGATAACCCCAAGGGGTTGTGGGTATGTCATAATTGGGGTTTTGCCAAAAATCGAAATTCTTGATCAATGGAGGAACAATATCACCATTTAAGTCATCGTAGGCTTTGTGTCAGGGTGATGAAGGTCCTACGTTTTTTATGAGCCATCATATAAAGATAGATGAAATAATAGACCACTTTATAAGACATAAATTATAGGACTAAAACACAGAGCACTTTATCTAAAGACGTTATAATAAGTTTATAAGATGCTTTTGAACGTCATAACAAGTTTATTAGAACATTTTTATAAAAAAAATGTCATATTAGCTATTTTATAGGACACTATTTATAAATCATCATCGACTTGACCATAAAAACTCCACCCGTTAAGAATGAAGTGAAAGTAACGGAATAAATTATATTGTTTGTTTATTGACCTATTTACCCTTTTAAAAAGCTTATTTAGAAGAATAATAAAAAAATTTATTTAAGGGAAAATTAAATATTCATTAAGTTTATTTCCATATTTAATTATTATATGTTAAATATAATAATCCCTTTTTGGAAAAAAATTGATTATTACCATATGAATACAATTATTTTTTCAATAACTTATATTTTTCCAGATCTACGTTGTCATTATAATAAAATTGGTTTTATAAGATATCTAGATTATCTACGGATTTTGATACGATATTTATAAAGCATCTTATCTAAGCGTTACAATAGGTTTATTAGACACTTTTAGACATTTTAATAAAAAAATTAGAACATTTCTGTAAAGTGTACTATCTAAAAGTGTTACAATAGGTTTATAGGACACTTTTAGACATTTTAATAAAAAAATTAGAACAATTCTATAAAAATGTATTATCTAAAAGCGTTACAATAGGTTTGTAGGAAACTTTTAGACGTTTTAACAAATTTAGAACATTTTAAATAAAGTGTCGCATTAGCTATTTTACATGTCACTTTTGAGAAATATCATATAAACCAATCTTTTTAATATGACATCTGTGTTTAGAGGACATTTTTTCAAATATTGTCTCACAAAATAATTAATACGACACTTTATTTTAACAATGTCATAAAAAACTTGTTAAAACGCCTAAAAGCGTCCTATAAACGTGTTGTAACGCTTTTAGATATGACGTTTTTTTTTGTTTGATCCTATAAACTTAAGTCCTATAAAGTATTTTTTAGGACACTTCAATATTTTAGACGTCCTATAAAATCAATTATGTTGCAGTGTTTATGTAATTTCTTGTTAAAAAGAGGGTCTTTAAAAATTGTTTCTAATCCTTAATGAGTATTGTTTAGAACTTTTACTAAGTGCTTTACACTATAATGTAAATGTTATAAACATTATAGTTAATTCAAAAAATCTGTTAATTAAAAGAACTGATGAAATAACAGTTTAATGTTAAATTTCTCATTTACTACTGATAAGAAAAAATCAGTTCAAGATAATGATTACATGGGTACTTGTGCAATGCAGCGAAATACATATTGATTTTATTGTTTTCTTTTATTCTTTGTATATAATACAGTTTTATATGGTTTTGAGAAAGTGATAATGTTTTTATTTTTGAATAAAATATAAGTTTGAAGATATTATAATTAAAATTTTGAAAAAAAATATTGATATTAATATAAAATTAACTATTTAAAA